TTAAAATGTTGACAACCACTGGCTATAGATTTCTCTAAACCAATCGCGACGTAAGTATTATCGATCGTTCTAGAACCGACAAGAAACACACACAATAATAAAAAATGTTCATTGTAGTAAACGAAATAATAATTTGATTTAAGTAAGAGTTTTTTATTCCCGATTTGTAAAAAATCTTTATGTGATAGACAAAAATGAATATTATTTTCGACATCTGCGTAGCTGAATTATGGAAAATCCGTTATTATTCATGAAGTTTATATTCGCAGGCCTGTGTAATTCAACCCTATATGATATCACAACTGCAGTCTTATTTACTTTATGAGAAACGGCTAGAAAATCTGCCCTAAAAAACCGAACCAGAACCAGTTTTACCTTTGTTGTTTTCCAATTTTTACAGTAAGACTTTTAAAAAATATAGATTGCTGATGACTTACTTTTTTTAATAAGCAGTAACTTAGTACTTATAGATTAGTAGGTGTAACTTAGTAGTCGTAACTAAGCTGTAACTTAGTAACAGTACTTTAGAACTTAGCAGCCACAACTTAGTAGCCGTAGTTCAGTAGCCATAACTAAGTAACTGTAGCTTATAACTAACTAACATTAAAATAGTTATAATCATAACTAATGTTATAAATTAGTATCTAATGCACATGTTGACTCAAACAACATCTAACAGGTTTTATCTATAGTTGCGAACTACCTAACACACTTGTTGGCCCACACGACACATAAAAGGTTGTATCCATAGTTATGACCTACATAACACACATGTTAGCCCCCACAACATCTAAAGAATTGTATCCATAGTTACGGGCACCATAACACCCATGTTGGCCCACACAACACCTGAAGAGCTGCATTAAAACTTTTCTAATATACATGCTGACGTGGGATAAAAATTACTGGTCAGGTTTTTCTTGACCGTGTAATTGTCTCACCTCTGACATACTAAGTTTTTATTTCTTTCGACAATGTTTTGAATCACACAATTTACGTCTATTCTGTTTTAGTTTAATACCAAACTTTTCATTTTCTTTTTCATAAGTTGAGCGATTAGTAGAAACATTCAATTGTCAATGGCAAGTAAAAGGTAAATGTTTTCAAAGATAAACGTATATTTAACTGTATCATTAATATAAACAAAGAGTACAGGATTCTTGACCACTATGTTTTTATTTGACGTCTGTCGAAGATATTTTGATGTTTTTAGAAGTTGTTATTACTAATCACACACGAATACAGTTTGATCCAATATTCATATTTACACATGATCCTATAAATAAACATTTCCATTTTGCTTGTCTACAAGACATGTTTCTTAAGCTCTCATTGGACAACATGCACATTCATAGATCTAAGCACTCTTATTAGCCTTTAGTTTTACCTGGGTCTTATTTTTTAATGTAATTATTTTCCAAGAAATGTGGCACAGCGGTATGTTTGCGGGCTTATACCGCTACAAACCGGGTTTCGATACCCGTGGTGGGCAGAGCACAGATAGCCCTTTGTGTAGCTTTGTGCTTAATAACAAACAACCAAGAAATGTGTTTCTGTTGACTGGATGCGAGTCTGTTTAGTCTGCGATTGCCAGTTGTTAGGCATCAAACCTTTATACAGTGTGCTTTTTTACGTACACTAATTAATTCGTGCTGACGTTTATTAAAGTTTTTTTGCATGAACAGAAAGTTAAAACAAAAATGTGCCAAAACCAAAAATTACTTTGGTATGATTTAGTATATATTTTGAGAAAAGACATTAATAATTAATCAGGTATTTTGTGTGCGACTTTGGGAAATATATTTTGGCCAACAGGATGCAATCCAAGCACGTTGATGCAGTTTAGCAACTGGTTAACTACAGTAGTTAAAAAAATGTTTTTTTTTATTCATGACAGTGACTATACACCTGATTGAAACTGCCTTGCCCAATCCATTAAACCTTATTGAGCAAGCAAAAGTGTTTGTTATAAGTGATGTCAAAACAACAAAAACTGCAGAAAAGACACCAACTTATTTAAGATTGAATCCAAGAAAACTAGGACCTAGCGATATATTATAACATTTTTTGTCCCTACTCTAAAATAAAATGCACTCAAAGCAGCTGGTATCCAGTCTCATAGAGCTTACAGGATAATTTACCACAAATTTGATCACAAAATTTACGAACGTCATTTTAACCAAACAACAACAATAACAACAAACAGAAATCCTCGTACCCAGAGGATTATCAAAACAAATATTTCACTACCTAGTAGAGAAGCCATACATAAAATTATGATCCTATGCTGCTCATGAAAGTATTTCCTCCATTGTTCTCAATCTGATGGTCATGAATACACATCTTATCAAAATTTCCACGAACCGACCATAGTATGTGAAAGTCGTTTTTCAACAATATCCAAAACCACGTTTAAGCAGTCCAGAAACACAGATGTCTATTCGAGCTGCATTAAGTGATTAAACAGCTATGTGGTCTTGTATAATGGTATTGTTGCAATTCCACCCTATTATTCGGAACGAGTCTATACTTTACAGAACCAACCAGATTTATTGAAATATATATATGGTGGTAGTTTTCCTCTTTAAAAAAGTTGTATTTAATCCGAATGATAAGAAACTAAAACTGATCTACTTTTAATCTTAGATGAAACTGTGGTAACAATTTGAGACCGATAGCTCACTCGACTTTTTGTGTGGGCGTGCGCAAAAAATTGGGTCAAAATTTAGCAGTTTTTCTTGAATACCTTTGCACTTGTGACTTATAGTCAGACCAAATTTGACAACTAATTGTAGGATATAAACATATATTAGTTTACAAAAATGGAATAAAATTCATCAAAATATGTGTCATTATCAAATATCTTTTCAGTGTGATCGTTGCGAAGAAGAAGAAAATAATTGAAGAAATTCAATCAAAAGTGGAGATTTTATATCTCGTGTGTTTCTTAATGGATTGCCTTGAAATTTGATATGTAAAGTAAGTGTCCACTAGAGCACTTCCAGTGAATATATGGAATAGTTTGGATTACTACAGTCCGAGCTAAAGAAAGTGGAAAATTACTAAACTATCACTCCTATTAATAACACAGTTTGTTGTACGGGTTGTTGTGGCCACACGACACACTACTGTGTATGTTGATAGAGCCAAAAGGCACAACATGTTGAAGAAAAGAATTCTCGTATTATTTTTGGAAGTGGAAAAACTTTCATAAATAGAGCGTTTAAATATATGGGGATTCATAACTACACCCAAAGCCTGTCCGGAACAACACTATCTTCAGCAGAAGAAGGCTATAGCTTCGAAAGAGAGCCTTTCGACTCCCTACAAAAATCCATTATAAAGGAGTTGGAAGTATCTCCTTAATAAGACAAAATTTAGCAGTTTTTTTCATTCTCGTAAGTCTCACTCTAAAATTTATTGTGGCCGCACCTTTTTTCACACCTAAGGTGGTTTTGATTAGATATGATTTAAAAGTCTCGCTATTTGAATATTTTTCCTTGGAAAGGGGTGTGACATTTTCTCCATCCACATGTCTGTCTACCAGTGGGGCATTGTACTATCGAGTAGTTGGGAATACATGGTAAACCAAATATATATATTATAGGTACTAAACATGTGGTTCAAAGTGCCATGTCTCACACCTGTAGCGACATGCCCTTACATTAAAATTTGTAAATCGTTCTTATAAAATAAGTTTAGCCCTTTTTTATAATATACATTGGTTGAGTACGTTATATTTAAACGATTTTGGAGCCTCAACACATTGTTATAGTCCATGTCGCCACGTCCGGTCAAGCTCTATCTGACGACTGTGCATCTTGACAATACCCCTCCAACGTCGTTTACATTACAAAGGTCCCGTTTTAGGCTGTCGTGTCAAAAGCAAACAACTGCTCCCTGCTTGTTTTCTATAAGCCATCTAGTGTACGAGAGCTACGAGTTCCCAGCTTCCTTTCAGCATTCCAATCGCACAGAAATCTATAGATATGCGACAGTAGAACGGATATGTCGTGGAAGCAGCTTGAGTACATGTGACTAATGTCAATTTTACAGACGGGATTCTTCTTGATTATGGGGCACAGAAATGGCCTTTTCCACTGATCTATCTGTTTCTAAATGTACACTTGTTACAATATGCCACACAGTGCTTACCAAGGTTAGGGTACGGCTTATTGTAGGTCTCTTTCTAGATGGTCCTGATATCATAAGTTCATCGACATTTCTTTGTTTTCGAATGCTATTAAGCACAAGGGGTATCCCTATCTTGGAAATTCTAAGTCTCCGATTTGGATACATCTTTATTATTTGAGTCTTTGAATATTTTACATCGGAAAGGACTCCATAACGATCAATTTTCGATGGCATTACGCTACCTACGAACGCCAAACAATGCCAAAATGTAGTTATGATACATTCCGTTCTACCATGACTATATATTGGCTGTAACTGTTACGAGACTTGCTTAGTTGCATATTTGTTTATTTTTTTTATATAACGTGTTCAACCCTCTGCATGTATATTTACACTAATCGCTATTTATTATTTGTTCTACAGGTTTCATATAACTTATGAAAAAAATAATTCCATAATTTTCTGTATGACTTTTGAGAAGTTGACAATGCGTCCCGTATATTTTTTTTTTATAGAACATGTAGTCCGTGTTCACAAGCTTCGGTCTACAGGAGTATCCTGGTTATCAAGCGAGGAAACAACTTTCTTTCCTTAAACAAAAATAGAAACATTAGACGTCTTAGTAAAGTAATTTGACTTCCTTCAAAAAACTAAGCACCCTTAGAAATATGGAGAAAAACAAAGTTGACTAAAACAATTTAAGTACTAATAATTTATACATAATCAAATGGTCAACAATAGCAATATCTGCTATTTTACTGGGTGAAAAGGAACGAATTATTAACGTTTACAGTGAAAAAAAAATTGAAAACAGCTACTATACGAAATCCGTGTAGACAATATTTGTTGTCAAAAGATTAAATTTGTGATTACATTGGACTTGAAAACGTGCTGACTCAGCACCGACCAATAGCATTACTAAAAACTTGCTGATTCAGTATTGACCAATAGCATTACTAGAAGATATACATCTTCCAACGTTGAGAAAATTGTTATTATTCTACAGATCATTATCCATCCAAATACCTGTAAACGTTTTTTTCGTAGTTTACAATTCTTTATTGTACACACCCATAATGACCCACTCCGCCCTATTTCATAATCATTTGTATGTCACTCTACACTTTTTCTCACTAGCCAAAGTTATACCTAAACCAAGGACAAACTACTCTTAACAGAATTAACAATTAACCTATACATTTTACGTTTACTCAACGTTTCACAGTCCATAAATTTTTGCTGTACATGATATTATTTAAGTTATATACAAAAAAAAGACCAATTATCCAACAGCATTCCTAAGTTTAAAGGATGGGTACATGACAGTATAAAGTATTGTAATTTAAGTGACAAGTCACTGCCTATGAGGTCAATATGGGACGAACACTCTTCATATACTACAGATGTATTGTTTCTTGGCGCTTGTGTATAACGTTAAGATAATAAATAACACACAATGTTAAATGGGTACACATTTAAAAACGATTTTAATTGTGTACCCATTTTAACGTTGGGTGTATCACATTTTCTATGTAGAATGCATCATTTTTTTTTTGTATGACTTCTATGTTATTATGGATCTTGTAATTAACAAAGTAATGGACCCAGAAGCACTTTGATGTAAAAATAGTGTTAAAACTGTTTTTAATAAGCCGAGAATTTTCATATGAGCCAATTTTAAATTTGAATCGTATGCCTAAATAGGAATATCTTTATATATTTTATGTGAAATTCAATGTTGGTTGTAAGATAATAATTTACTATAAAGTTTTAAATACTATTCCAGTCTTGTTTAAAGAATGGCTTTCCGAATATATACAATGTAAGAGCAAGACTCGATAAAGTTGTTACGTTCAGTCCAATACAAACAGGAAAAGTCGTGTGTTTTATGCGTATTTAATATCCAACAATCTTTATGTTACTAAACCCAAATGACAGAAATCACTATCACTAGAACACTACGTATGAGGATACCTATAACCACATACATGTTTTTCAGAACTCCAAAAACTAACGTCAGAGAGGCATAAAGAATTAAACTGTCGGTTATCAAAGTTTTCCCTGTTAATTTATAAAGTTCGGACATTAAAACTTTGAAATCCTGGTTTTATTTAGTTTAAAACATAAATACCCCTTCCCCAATTTTTTCAGCGGTAAGTCTGAAGGCTTATAACGAAAGAAATCGGGTTTCGATACCCGAGGTGAGCAGAGCACAGATATCCTATTGCTTAGCTTTGGGTTTGACAACAAACAAATAAAATTAAAACGTAAGTAAGCTGAGAACAAGGTGTAAAAAATATACTCACTGGCATGGCATAATAGACACTTTCTGTTCAACAATACCTCGTTGTGTTATAACGTGGGATGCAACAAAGCGCCATTGATGTCTTTTGTTCAGTGCCACTTTTGGAGCAAGCGTGTTCTTTTGGCAACACGAGGAAGCTAGTGATCCATGTGTGCCTGTAGAGAAAGACCTCTTTGACCTGGGTTTACTCGGGGGTCCACCTAGAAGATCTTCTGGTGGCTCCTGTAGTCCTTCTCGTTCGTCCACAAAAATGGAAGACACGTTAAATCTTTTTCCTGAAATTCCTCTTAATACTGATGTGACGACATCTCTGTAAAGAAATATGTCGAAATGTTAAAATTTAGTAACTATGTATCGAACTGAACGGTTTTTCGCTGAACTGACTTTACCACTAATACAGATTGTTGTTGTTTTTTATCGGTGTAAAGATTGACTTCGGTACACTTCGTAAAATTAGTTGAATTTCATGTCTGATGAGACAATAAGAGACGGGAGTGGCCTTGTGGTTAGCATGTCGAGCTGCAGATCGGCAGATCCAATGTTTGAGCTGTGATATACCGCTGAAGACATTCCGCTGTTATAAAGCTGAGGGGCTATGCAACTGTGACAGTCATTCCTGTTAAGAGTCGTCACGTAAGCGATAAGTGTTACTAATTGGTTGACCTCCCTTTGTCAGCAGTTCTATGTCTGAACCGGCTTAAGGGGTCGTTTAGATTGAAAATACAGTTGAAATGGGTGTGATACTTATTATAATAATTACAAGTGAAATGGGTGTAATATTTTCAATAACTACAAATAAAATGGGCGTGAAACTTTTAAATATTTCCGGTGGCTCATCGGTAAATCTGAAGACTTATAATGCTAAAAATCGGGTTTAGATACCCGATGTGGGCACAGCACAAATAGCCCACTGTGTAACTTTGTGCTTAACAAAACAAAGAGAATACTTTTAAATGATTGCCTGATGTTTTTTTAAAAGTATTTGTAATCAAAATAAAAAAGTTGTTCCAAAACTATAAATATTAGGATTATCGAACATTAGTATTCAAAAAGACAGACATAAATTTGTTTGTATAAACTAAGTTTGAAAGAATTGTTGTTTGTTTGTTATGAATATTAGGATTATCGAACATTAGTATTCAAAAAGACAGACATAAATTTGTTTGTATAAACTAAGTTTGAAAGAATTGATGTTTGTTTGTTATGAATATTAGGATTATCGAACATTAGTATTCAAAAAGACAGACATAAATTTGTTTGTATAAACTAAGTTAGAAAGAATTGCTGTTTGTTTGTTATGAATTTCGCGCAAAGCTATACGAGGGCTATCTGCGCAAACCGTCCCTAATTTAGCAGTGTAAGGCTAGAGGGAAGGCAGCTAGTCATCACCACCCACCGTCAACTCTTGGGCTACTCTTTTACCAACGAGTAGTGGAATCGACCGTTGCATTATAATGCCCCCACGAGCGAAAGGACGAGCATGTTTGGTGGGACGAGGATTTGAACCCGCAGAGTGCGAGTCGAGCTCCCTAACCACCTGGCCATGCCGGGCCTGAATTGTTACAAACTCCATATTCTACAAAAGTGTTCGTCATGTATTCTTTGTAAAATTCTATCTTTTAGCAACATCGAAACTTGTCAGGAAAAACAGATAAAAGGGGTTACCATATCAAAGAAACTACGAACTAAGTAACGTGAAAAGGTTTCAGGAAGTGTACAACCTTGCTCTGTAGTTTAAAAGGATATTTTATTATTTTCAGCTAATATCTTAACATTGTCGTATAAGATGTGCAGTGTCTTACGTTGGATAGTTGATGGCATGTTCACAGTACGTTCTTCCAGATTCTGCACATGCTGGCCGTCGGCCTGGAGGGGCGGGAAGGAAACGAAACCATTCTTGTCTAATGCGTCGTTCAGAGAAAGTACTGCTATAGATGGTGAAAACACTGCAGACCGCTAGGAGAAGCTTCACTCGTGCATGACTGCCAAACATCATTCTCGGTTCCGTCTTGTTATAAAAAAAACTATAAGAAACAGCCATACAAATAAAAACTATTTAACTACTCAACAATTTAGAGACCAGTTTTTATTTACGGAAAGGCATACGTATATCATAAGGAAAGCTATAACTAGATATAACTCTCAATCCAGAGCTCTTCAGGCCGGCTGGAATAGAATAAGCACATTAGTGATCGGAAGACTATTTGTGGTTGAAATATTGTTGCTATACGCTCTTCTAATTCTTCAAAATTCCTAAGGGATTAGATTAAGAATGTAGTCTTTAAAAATGTAATAGGCCTAATAATAATGTCTTATGACAAGCATAACTGTAATTAGTCTTCGCCGGCTTGTAAAAGGCGTATACACCACCACTCCCTCTATTGTTTCGTTATGTTCTATTTACTATTGTTACGCACTATAAAACCGTTTAACATTTATAAGTAGTTTGACGCATTGCAGTTTCGTTTCATTGGTTTGGCAGCAAATAATGTTAAGCGATTTCTTTTTAAGGTCTTTGTTGATGAATTACAGTGGTATACCAATTGTGTTACTGCGCACTTAAACAAACAAACACTAGTTAATCACCTGTAGCTTGTTACGATCTTTCAAAACCGAGAACCAAGTCTATGTGTTGTGTTTGTAACAACGTTTTTAAATAAAATCATGTCACATAATATCCGTTTTCAAACGAGTGCTGCATTCGTTAAATCACAAAACTCAATACTTCGATGTCGTTAACGATAATACTTCTTAGAAGAAACATTTGATAAAACTTTGAATATTTCGAATCCCTTATTTATTTCTATTTTTAAGTTTGATTTCTGGAATAATAAAAAGGCGACATTTTCATGAGTTTCAATGAGAAACTTCTTAGTTTTTTTTCCCTTTACTCTCCCCTTGTATCCATACGTTATTGACTGTGGAACCAAACTGATTCAGGCAGGGTACAAATATTTGACGTTTGTCAAAGGCCAAAATATTATTAATGGAAATCATTATTTTTGGTGTGTAGTTTTAATATAATTGCTAAATAGTAAAATAACGTTTATTTCTTTTACACCACATTTTCAATTTTCTTTAAATAAAGGTTCTTGATGGAAATAAGTATAATTAGAAGTGGTGTGCCTCGATTACATCAAGTTTTTAAACTCATGAAAACTTTTATATAGATAATATTAATTGATAATTTATAAAAAAAACATATATACACATCTACCTTAATGTATATTTTTATTTCGAAGCGTAACCTTATTTCACTGCATACAAACCATTATGAAAATAATTTACGCTCTTTAATTGAAGCCTCTTGTTTCGACTTGTAGAATCCCTTTAAGACGTGCTTTATTGATTTATATATAATGAGATGCCAATACTGTTGAAATATTGTTACATGTAATGACCTATCAATAAAGTTGAACCATTGTTTCAACTTGTAGAATCCATTTAAGAATAGCTTTATTTACTTACATGTAATGACGTACCAAGACTATTGAACTATTGTTTCAACTTGTAGAATCCATTTAATAATAGCATTATTGACTTACATGTAATGACTTATCAATACTGTTGAACTATTGTTTCAACTTGTAGAATCCATTTAAGAATAGCTTTATTGACTTACATGTAATGACGTACCAATACTGTTGAACTATTGTTTCAACTTGAAGAATCCATTTAAAAATAGCATTATTGACTTACATGTAATGATTTATCAATACTGTTGAACTATTGTTTCAACTTGTAGAATCCATTTAAGAATAGCTTTATTGACTTGCATGTAATGACGCATCAATACTGTTGAACTATTGTTTCAACTTGTAGAATCCATTTAAGAAGAGCTTTATAGACTTACATGTACTGACGTACCAATACCGTTGAACCATCTAAAGCAGGTTGACGCACTGGCCTAGTTTCGTACGTGAAAAATGTAAGATTTCTTAAACACCAAAAATGTTGTTTCAATAGCTTTCAGCCTTGGACCGAGATAAGGGAACACGACGTTTTCCGGACGTCACGTCCGTCGGCTGCTTTGAGACCTCGAAATTTTCCCACAGGGATGACGATTGTATTACTTTTTCTGAAAATTCGTACACTATCTATCGCCAACCTAATTTTTGAAGCTACAGAACTATTAGAAGTTAAAAAGATGCATCTGCCAAATTTTCCTACAAACAAATAAAGAAAACTGAATAAATCAACATTTCAGAAAAAATGAACCATATGGATATTTGGTTAAAATCTTCGTTTTATTCATTTTTCGAAACCTATTCAAGTACACTTATTCATTGTTATATATATCAGTAAGTGTACTTATCATTCTATACAAATCAGTACCTGTATACATACTTCTATACAAATTTCTAAAAATATCTGTCTGCCAATGCAAATGCTCCCCTTTAATAGTCACTCACTAAACAATATCTGTACTAATCTTTCAATACAGATCAGAAGCTGTACTAATCCTTCAATATAATTCCCTAAAAACATCTGCCTCTCAGTACAAATGCGGCCCGGCATGGCCAGGTGGTTAGGGTGCTCGACTCGCAATCTACGGGTCGCGGGTTCGAATCCCAGTCACACCAAACATGCTCGCCCTTTCAGCCGTGGGGGCGTTATAATGTGACTATTCGTTGGTAACAAGAGTATCTTAAGAGTTGGCTGTGGGTGGTAATGACTAGCTGCAGTCTCTCTAGTCTTACACTGCTAAATTAGGGATGGCTAGCGCAGATAGCCCTCGTGTAGGTTTATGCGAAGTTTGTTTGTTTTGGGCTACTCTTTT